CCCTGAGTAATCAATACCATTCCTAGAGTGGGAAAGAATGAGTAAGAGAGTAGCTGCTGATAAGTATGTAAACCCAATCCTTGAGGTATACCTGAAATAACACAAGTGGGAGGAAAAGGTGTACAACACAAGCCACCCTGAGTAATCAATACCATTCCTAGAGTGGGAAAGAATGAGTAAGAGAGTAGCTGCTGATAAGTATGTAAACCCAATCCTTTTGAGGTATACCTGAAATAACACAAGTGGGAGGAAAAGGAGTACAACACAAGCCAGGCTTGCATGACCAATACCATACCATTCCTATATGGAGATGGAACGAGAGTTGCTACTGATAAAGTCTGGAAACCCAATGTTTTTAAGGCTTATCAGAAGTGGGATGAAATGGACTACACAGCAACCAACTGCGGACTTAGCCTAGTATTTTACCATTCCTAGAGTGGGAAAGAAGGAGGAAAGAGAGTAGTTACTGATAAGGTCTGGAAACCTAATCATTCAGCAGAAGTGGGAGGAAAAGGGAGTAGGCAGCAAAGCAAGGTGCAACTTTAAAATATTCATTACCATTCCTAGAGGAAGAAAGAACGTAGCTACTGCTGAAGTCTGGAAACCCAACAGAAGTTGGAGGAAGGGAGAAGAAAAGGAGGTTGCTACCTTAGCAAGTATTATTCATTGAGGATAGGGTTGAGCCATTATGCTAATTTTTTTACCCCATTATGTTATCCCACAACCTTCCCTATTATTCCTCATGGCTTCCCCTATTATTCCGTTAGTGCTGGCATGCATTGTGCAAAGGGAATAATGTGTGTAGAACGAGGGAAAGTGCTGAATCTGCACGTTTGTTCCCGCAGTTTAGCGACATCTGGCCTTTGCCGGGAGTGATGCACTTCATTTGTGCTCTTTTTGCATATTGAAGATATCAGAGTAAGTTCTCCATCCTTCAGCAAAACCTTTGAACGGCAGAAGCAGGTCGGAAGATCGCGCAAACGCCTACACACTGCAATTCGACCAATTCTTCCAAGAATTATACCAGCGTATTGGGCGCCAGCCTACTTGAGGAGGAAAGAGAGTAGCTACTGACTACTGGAACCCATCCTTTTGAGGCATATCTTAAACCACAGAATTGGGAGGAAAGGGAGAAGAAAGCAAGCCAAGGTGCAAAATCAATAAGATTCCCAGAGGAGGAAAGACAGTTTGTTACTGATAAGGTCAAGAAACCCAATGCATATCAGAAAACAACAGAAGTGGGAGTAGACAGCAAACCAAACTGGAACTTTAGCGTAGTAATTCAATACCATTCCTAGAGGAGCAAAGAAGGAGGTAAGAGCGTAGCTACTGATAAGTATGTAAACCCAATCCTTTTGAGGTATACCTGAAATAACACAAGTGGGAGGAAAAGGAGTAGAACTCAAGCCAGGCTCCATGATCAATAATACCATACCATTCCTATATGGAGGTGGAACTAGAGTTGCTACTGATAAGGTCTGGAAACCCAATGTTTTTAAGGCTTATCAGAAGTGGGATGAAATGGAGTATATACACAGCAACCAACTGCGGGACTTAGCCTAGTATTATACCATTCCTAGAGTGGGAAAGAAGGAGGAAAGAGAGTAGCTACTGATAAGGTCTGGAACCCCCATCCTTGTGAGGCAACAACAGAAGTGGGAGGAAAGGGAGTAGACAGCATGGGGCGTTTTAGTCTGAGCTAGCTATTCAGTACATTCCTGGAAGGGGCTAGCTACTGAAATTAATTTGAAATAACAAAAAGTGGGAGAAAAGGAGTAGCTAGTAGGCAAGCCAATATGCAACTTGAAAGCAGGTGAGGTTTTCCTGCTCTACAAATAAGGAAGTCTGGATGAAGAGGTCAGGCTGTATTAATTTGCTAACAACAATACTGGGGTGTAGTTATGAACAGTAAGGTAATACGGTGGTCAAATGGCTTATGCCTTTACCATCCAACTTAGCAGGTCAGCACAGTATACAGCAACCACTGCATTGAGGCTGGATCGTTTTTCGGGGCTTGTTTGGACTTTTACGGTAGCCTATCCACATGGTGAAAACCTTGTAATCACACTACTACCTACAATATAATTATAGTCACAATAAAAACAAACATTACTGTGTGGCTATGCCTAAATTAAACTTCTGTTACAATTATCCATGTAGGGTAACTACTTTGAAACCTTACCGTCTCAAGATGATAGCTGTAGCTGTTTCATTCAAAAAATGTATAGCTCTCCCTTGAATGAAGACGGATGCAGAGTGAAAGGTGCAGGAGTAATGACTAAACATACCAACCTGAGATGTGGGATTGTTCATCCGTACAACCTAGCACTGCGATTCTTCATCACCGTGCAACTCTTCGGTCCACTCCTAGCGCATGCGATCATCGCACCCTCCACCGCGGAACTATTGCATGTACGACCTCTCTTTGGCAGGCGAAGGAACATTATTATAATAAGTCGTTACGTGTGGGCGTACGCGACGCTCCTGAAAGAAGACGAGCTCCTTCCACCCCGCTCGCGGTTAAGCGGAGGCTCCTTGCTCGGGTCTCCACCAGGAAGGTGTCGGCTACACAGGCGAGGGATGAAGTGTAGAGAACGGACCCAGCGCGCAACGACTTCCGGAAGCCGCACAAGTGACCGCGCCTCCCACGCACAAGTCACGCGCCATAGGCCACGCCCCCTAGAACTACCGATCGTGCAGAAGAACCAATCCTTGATCTTCAGCGCAAAGAACGACAGGAAGGGACGTTGGGAAAGTGTATACACACATCTACTAGCTATTGTGGCAGCGGATAGGTAACGCCCACTAAAACATTCCCCAAGCACGAAATAACTGCTACCTGAAACTTGCAAATGCACAGCCTACATTTTGTGGAATGGAGAGCCGAGCGGCACCAGAATAGACACTCTACGTTGTATTCAAGCAAGCGAGTAAAGGGATGCATGCCTTCATGGCCATGCACACAAGAATATATTTCAAAATACGCTGGGAACAGTACACGGTGGCTTGGCAGCATCATCTCCCTTTCACGCACTCTGCTGATAACCAAGGGCCTGATTGAACTGGCCATCTTGCTACCGCATGTTCATTGCTGGTTGTTTCGAAGGCCCTTGGTGTAGAACCAAGCGCTCTGCTGATCAGCAGAGTGCGTAAAAGGGAAAGGATGCTGCCAAACCACCGTAAAGTGTCTATTCTGGTGCCGCTCGGCTCCCCATTCCACAAAATGTAGGCTGTGCATTTGCAAGGTTCTAGTAGCAGTTATTTCGTGCTTGAGGAATGTTTTAGGGGGCGTTACCTATCCGAGAATCCCTTCTCGCTGCCACAATAGCTAGTAGATGTGTATATACACTTTCCCAACGTCCCTTCCTGTCGTTCTTCGCGCTGAAGATCAAGGATTGGTTCTTCTGCACGATCGGTAGTTATAGGGGGCGTGGCCTATGGCGCGTGACTTATGCGTGGGGGCGCGGTCACTTGTGCGGGTTCCGGAAGTCCTTGCGCGCTGGGTCCGTTCTTTACACTTGATCCCAGGCGAGAATATGGTTTATTACAGCGTCAGCACCTAGCTGTAGATTTGCAATCCACCTCGCTCTCACCGTTTTTCAACTGGGAAACGGTAAAACGGTGAAAGGAGGCTCCAGGGTCTGTTGCACGTGTAGAGCCACACAGAACACATCGATTCCCAGTCATGATAGTAACAACTATCCTTTCTCAGCCCAGATCACCGCGCAGGAACTAGCTAAAGCGTCCGTTCTTGTGACTACTACACATTGTGACCACTACACATAGTGACTACGGTTACTGTAATATCGCAAAAGTAACTTATAAATAGAGCATAGCGTAAAAGCTATGTGCTGTGCCGCTCTAAGTACGGGCGGTTCCGTCGCCATCGAGAGACTCCGGATGTGACGTCACATTCAATTAAAAACTAATGTGTAGCTGGTCCATTCGGATCGCTCTTTGCGTGAGCTAGTCGTGTATATATGAGTATATATGTTTGGTGGCCGACAAGTACCAATTTTCGTGTTTCCATTTTCCAAATATTCATCCCCCATTTGCCATTTTGTACTTCCACTTTCCAAATTATATGTTCGCCACCACCCGCCACCGCGCGTATGCAATGAGTGATCTGATTCCTGTGTGATTTCGCACACTCAGCGCGATATGTGCAGTCGGTCGACTGTGTAGTATGAAACATTTGAAAAACGAGGGAGGCTCGTTTTATTCGCGAACTCTACTAGAAGGCGAATGTGTTTTGTCGAGCGAGACAACAGCATCTGCAGCGTAGCTACATCCATTGGAGTCCTCTCCCACTCTCTCGTGTTCTACTTTCCTCATGTTCATGCGTAGTGTATACAGTCAGATTAGTTGTGCGTAAAGTAGTTGGACAAGCTACAACAAACGTTTTTCGCTATTTGGCAGTCTCAAAAGCAAGATGCTGCCTTTTGCGACATCTGTCTCTATAGCTATATATATATATAGCTGCTCCCGAATTTCTAAGGCCCAACCTGCATCGAGAAAGGTTAAGTGGCTATAATATAGTCGCCGCTCCCGAGAATTTTCGGGTGTCGTGAAAGCCGTAAGCAGTACCAATCGGGGGTGGATTTGGTTGACGAACTGATGTTCAATGTTAGCCATCTCTTATCTCCCTAAAATGTATTTACTGGCGGTTGTTTGTTATTTCTACTGCCTATACGCCCTCTCTCTCATGACTAGCTATATAGTATCAGTGCATACTTGATGTACGTATTATATCTATAAACAGGTGTGAAGGGGGCGAGTCGGTAACCACTATTCATATGGAGGGGTGCAACCGTACGGCCACGTTTGTTCGACAGGAATGCGAAACTTAAACTGTCTCTAACCTCACATTTTAACAAGCCTGGGACCTGGAGAGTAATTTAGTCAGTGCAGAGATCCATTGAGCATGCGCTTAAGTCGTGAAGGCGTTCCTGACAGTATAAAAAGGTTCATTAACGTCTTTAGATTGCTGCGGAGCAACTCAAAGGCGCCACAACGGATATATAACAGGTTAGCGATTGTTGTTTAGTTAGCCTGTTGTCATAAGCTAAAGTACTAAGGACTTTACACCAATAATAATGCGCACTTCCTTCTATATAAAACGTACATACAGCAAGCGGAGAAGCGTTGGTGCGGAGATTTACATCTAACAAGGGATTGTAATGACTAAGTAGCTTTCTGCGCATGTAAACGGCAACGTACGTGTTGTGACCAAAAACGGTCCTTTAAGCGAAATTAATGATGCCGTTTTTTAATCTCAACGTTACTTTCGTAGTTGCCGCAACGTACTGCGGCGCATAGGACTTCGAGTTCGGGGTAATGTTGGTTGTAAATTCCCGGATCATTCCTCTTTTGTGCTCCCTCAGAACCAGAAAAGGGGACGGTATATAAGATCGCGATAAGGGCACTCCAAGTTGTGTATTATACTGGTTTCTAGTCCGTCGCCGCACCCAGAACGCAGTTTTGGCAACTGCGAATGTTGCGCTGCGTGTACTCATCTTTTTTTACATAGCTACACATTAGTAGATGAGCTATAATGAACGTGGTGTATGTTGCTATGTATACTATTATTATGTTAGCCATTTTCGCAAGGATGATTCAGATGATCTCACAAAAAGGAAGCAATTCCAATCTGAGCATGTCTTGGGTAGCTACAAAAGAATGCTACGAGGTAGAAAGGCAAAGGTACAACAAAGAAATTCGAACCCACGACCTGCACGCATTAGTCCGACAGAAGGGTACATGTATATTTGGTAAAGATGAATTGAAAGATGTGTATTCGAAGAGTGGACAGATTTTTGTGAAAGTATATAAAGAAATTGTATATATATATTTCCGACGATTTGCAAGTGTAGCTATATAGGAAGGTTACTGATCATTATAGTAGTGCAGAGTAGTCCAACTCCCATTTCTTCAGACAAATTCTGAATTTAACTCTTTCATATCTTGGACAAGGTGTGGATGCCACACTTGACATGCATGCTCCAAAGATGAGCTGATAACTGTAGCATGGAGTTATAGGAGGCGCGCACATCTTTACTTGAAAAGGACCTGACCAGAAATCGGAATGCAACTTGCAGTGGCCTAATGGTGCTGGCATTATCCATGGTACACACCACATCCACTACAGTTATTGCAGACCGCAGAGAGACATTGGTAGTTACCGCTGGAATCGGTTACGTGTGCATTGATAAGGGATGCGTCACGTGAATGGTAAAAGAATCCCAATTAGCGTTTTGAAGAATGCACGACATGCCCAACGTGTATGCATTGCTTAGTTTGTTGAAACACAGACGGAGAATTAGCTTGAAACCACACAGAGTCAGAGAGTTGTAAAGTAAGGTACTGTGCATTTAGCTTGGCTCCAGTGCTCTTGTGAGTGTGACGGAGTTTGAATATTCACTTGCCCAGCGGTAGGTGATCGCTGGGGATAATACGATTTATAGTTTCTTTCTTACATATTACTCCGAGTCAGTTGCAGATCCTCTCCGAATCCAGCTTGGTTTTGCCTCAGCACGCCCTTTTATTTCCCCATATATTATACATTCTTTACGGGCGGTGTCATTATTGACTATTACGCAATCTCTCTTGCTTCCCTATTTTCTCCCGATTTCCCCATTGGAACAGCTCGCGCAAGAGGAGGTTGGACAAGATCACGTGAATCCACGTGAATTGCCAACAATTTCAGAATGAAGGGGTTTGGTGTAGCCTCCCTTCTGCGAGACAGAGAAGGCCTGGTACACACTGTTCGCGCATGCGGCGAAAAACTTCACAGAAAAATGTGGGCGTGGAAATACGCTCGCGGCCTGCAGGTAATTTTTCGCAGTCAGCGAGCGGTGTTGTTAAATGGCGAGTCGTTCTTGCACGTTTCAGGTGTACAGCCGCCTCTCCTCTGCCAGTCCAGTTCAGTCAAGCTGTTGCAACTAACCATGTAGCGGTAGTGCCAAAGAAGATACATAATAAAAATCACTGAAGTGCAAACTCTCGGCGAACTGCGCTTGCACGATACCGCTAATTGATGGGCTGGGGCGTAGTAGGCGTTTACTCGTGGTCTCTCGCTAAGTAGCACACAGAGAGTCTGACACGGGCTAGCTACAGTAGTAGATAGCATGCGGGGAGTCGATACACGCCCTTCGCTGTGACGTTTTGCGCCTCCAACGTACGCAGATCAAGCACATCTTGTCCAGGTAAGCCCGTGCTAATTTGCATATTGGCTTGTTCACTTGCCATAACTTTTGAACGCGGCACTTTTACGAAAATCGCCAGTTTTAAAAATGAAGCCAGTGTAGCGCTGAACCCGTTGGTGTCTGTTTGTTGCGCGTGGTGCCAGAAAACGTGGTAACAGACAGACAGACAGACAGACACACACACATAACGACTACCGTAACCCTCGCTGCGCATGCCCGCCGAGGGTTAATTATGATGATGCCAAGGACACGAAGAAATCCGGAACGTTGGGCAAATTCTGCGCATGGGCAAAGAGTGTGCCTTCTTTTTCGCGGAAGGCCTGGCGATCGAGGCTAGTGTCGACCTCTGCAGTTCTTGGCATAGTTTTGTAGCGAAAAAGTTGGAAGATACCCTTGTAATCTGAAGAGAGGATCGAAAAAGGTATGGCAAGATTAGCTGACTTACGCTCTGAGTGTCGCTAGGAACGTGGGGTGGGGGTGGGGTTCCCCCCGCTTTTCAGTGAATACTTCTGAAGCTACATCTATTGAACGTGCGATTTTGGCTTTGATTCAGCGACACTGTTTGTATCTGCCATACATTCTTTACAGAGGGAGAGATTGCTGATTCAGCAAAGATTGCATCGAACGATGACAAGCTCGAGCGCTGTGGCCAGGGAACAAATGGCGACCGGAAGTAATATTTAAGCCGTCTGGAATCTTTCTAGCTCACTAACTGCCTAAAAACCTGGTACAAAATGAGCGAAGAACGCCAAAGAACCACTGTGTCGCGCTAATTGCGTCGAAAGCAGCAGCACTCGCGTTCTCGGCGTCTTACCGGCACAAGATGCTAAGAGATGCTGAGAACGTTCGAGTGAGTGATGTTGGAAGAGTCACAAGAGCTCCTAGCCAGTTCCCGAAGCCTCCTGCTCGATCGACCGCTGCCACGGCATGACACGCAAAACTACTGTCTCAAAGTGTGTAATGAATCCTTGGCTGGCAAAGAAATGGAAACAGTCTCTACTTCATCTTGGCAGGCCTTTGTCTGAGTACAACTTGTCACCCCAGGACTCACAAGGTTTGCAGCTAAACGCCCAGCCAAACATCCCTATAGCTCCTGTTGCGTCTAATATAGGTTAGCAGAATGACGCATGCGTTCGGGAAAGTTGCTGGAAAACGCGATCGGGCGCAGAAGCCGGATTCGTGACTGAAAGAGAGTGGCGCAGCCCGTGTGGTCTATCAAAACTGAAGCCACGAGTGTGCAACAAGTAAACCACAAGCAAAGCCATCGCATAACGTCTTTGTACGATGACATCCGGCGATAAAGCTCTGACCAATGGGATCGCGTAAAAGCTTTTACAGCGCCCTCTTTACGCACACCTTCGAGTGCGCAGAGAGCTAGCAACCGATCTGGAGAGAGACCGCTGCAATAAGCGCTTTAGATCAGTCGGTTTTGCAGAAGCCACGGGCATTTCCATTTCTCGAGAGTTCAACGTTACAGGTATGTCAAAGCTATTCTTCATCGCTTAGACTCCACACGAGTTTTGTAGCTGCCGCTCTGGCTCGTTTTCTCTCCTGCTATACGCAGCACTCTCGAATGCAGCTTGCTGCGAGAAAGCTGGAAGTCACCGAATACCGTTCCAGCCCACTGGAGCGTACGCGTCGGGAAGCTAGTTTTCAGACAGTGTATATACTAGAGCAGTTTCCTGGCCATTCTAGCCGGAAAACACTTCCTTCTGGTAGAGAAACAGCAGCACACAAAGAGTGTAAAAGCCCCCATTTGCATTCCATGCTGCCAGTTTCGTCTAAAGCCTTGTTCACAATACGCTGATAGACTTTCGTTTCGTTTAAATTCGTCCGTATGGTCAATTTGTGAACAGCGCAGCGCGTCGACGAACGTTGGTGACGAAACGAAGCGCTGGAATACGTATTCCAGCGTCAGGTGCCAGCGTTTGACCAATCAGATCATACCGCTCACGTGTTCTATATCGCCGGAGAGAGTGCGGTAACAGCGCCACCGCACTGTCAAGAAGAAGCTAGCTAAGCATAGCCGCATTTCTTTAAGGAGATTATGAATTTCGCCTTGCTCTTTGCGCTTACTAAAGATAGGTCGCACCGAGAATCCTCTCCGTATGTCGGCTTTCTTTTTTTCCTAGCCAAATAGCGATCAATATCGCTTCTTCTTCACGATGACTCATCGCGCGTTCGCTGGCCGTCAGTTGCAAGCGCGTGCGCAGCACGGCAACTCGCTCGCGCCCCGCCCCCACGCGTAATTTTCAAGTTCAAAAACGTTGACAGCGACGTCGTATTGTGAACGAAGCTACGAAACGAAACCATGTGACGGAGACAAAACGAAACGAAAGTCTATCGTCGTATTGTGTGAACCAGGTTTAACTCCTGTAGACCCACTGTAGTTTATGCAAATGAGTTGACATACAGCTAAAGTAAGGGGAAATTGTATTGTAACTACTTGTAGACTGAGCAGGAAGCGCTCACTACGCATCTACGTCGTTTGAACTAGCTGGAATTCCTTTGATCTTACTCTCAGTCATCTTACGAGGAGGAACATAATTAACCCTCAGCGCGCAAGCGCAGCGAGGGTTACAGTACTTGTTCTGTCCGTCTGTCTGTCCGTCCACGTTTTCTGCCACCACGCGCGACAAAAAGGTAAAATAGCGACACCAACGAGTACAGCGCTACACCCGCTTCATTTTTTAAATGCCGATTTTGTAAAAGTGCCGCGTTCAGAAGTTATGGCATGAAAACCAAGTGAACAAACCAATATGCAAATTAGCACAGGCTTACCTCGACCGAGTCCGTTTGCTCTGTGTACCTTGGACGCACAAG